ACAACAACCCCGTAAATACAGACCCGAAGGGCCTGGGTGTTTTGTGACGGGGTGCTGCAGGCATCTTGGTGGAAAGGAGCGGGTTTGGGAGTGGGATCTCAGACTGGTACGTGCGTTTTTGTCGTTGCTTTGAAGCTCTTAATGTGTCAGTAGCGTCAGGAGGGAGGAGGGATGGAAATTCTAGTCTTTGAGTGGCAAAAGGGGCTGCTCCAGCTGCCAGCCCTCTCGCTGTGTCCAACTTGCTCTTCCCAGGGGGATTGGACTAGATGATCCTTTGAGGTCCCTTCCAATCCCTAACGTTCTGTGATTCTGTGATTCCCATCTGCAGGACCCGTCCGAGGTATTGATTTCCACAAACAGCAGCCTCTGTTCGTTTCTGGAGGCGATGATTACAAAATAAAGGTAAAATTTTACCCCTTTAGTCCTTGTGCTCTAAAAGGCATCATCCAGGGAGGAGTCTGTGCAAAAAAAAAATAGTTAAAAGATGAGAAGGAGCGTGAGTGGGTGGGAAATAGTGTTTGGGAATTGGGATTCTGTTGCAGGGACGTTAGAGTGAACTGCAGGGAGTCGAAGTCTTGTCGTAGCTTGTGTCAGAAGCACGTTTTGAAATGGGAGAGAGAGTGAACTGAAGTGTGAGAATGCACCCAGAAAATCTCTGGTGGCACGTACCATCATCGCTCCCCTTGTGTGTCGTGCAGGTCTGGAATTACAAACTGCGCCGTTGCCTCTTCACTCTGCTGGGGCACTTGGATTATATTCGCACGACCTTCTTCCACCACGTAAGCTCCTCTCCCCCTCACCCCAGTGATGCTTCCCTTGGGTGCGAAAGGGAGTCTGTCTTTTGCTTCCCTGGGCGGGAATCTTCTCTGAAGAAATTGTACTGGGCTTGCTGGTATAAGGGTGGTCTTGTCTAGAGGTGTACGAGGCATAAATTCTGCTTACATGACTTAAATTTGAGATTTTGAAAGGGTAATTCCTGGGGGAAGTTGAAAAATACCACGTGGGGAGGGAATGCCTGGGGTGTGTGTTATTTCCTAGCCAGAATACTTTGTTGATTCTGTGATTCTCCAATTTTTTTAGGAATACCCCTGGATCTTGAGTGCTTCTGATGACCAGACCATTCGGGTTTGGAACTGGCAGTCCAGAACTTGTGTTTGGTAAAATCAAGACGTGCTTTAAAAAGTAACTGCGCGGGTTGGGAGCGAGCTGTCTTCGCCTGTGGTTTCCAGGCAGAAGCTGTGTGTAGTTGAAGGAGCAGAACTGACAAAGAGAATGGATCAGTTAGGAATGTTTCTGTCAGTCTTTAGTTTGCTCGTTTGCTCTGATGCCACTAGACTTGGATTCATAAATTCACATATTGTTTGATTGGAAACTTTTTGAGTCTAAAATCATAGGTGTCAGTCAGGCTACGTCTTGCAGAGTAGCATTTATCAATCCTGTGTTCCTCCTCATCCTTCCCAGGACTTAATTTATTACAAATTGGAACCTGTTTTAGTATATTTTCTGTGTAAATGGTGTTTTCTGTCCTTTCTGTTGTAGTGTGCTGACAGGACACAACCACTATGTGATGTGTGCCCAGTTTCACCCCTCTGAGGACCTGGTAGTGTCAGCCAGCTTGGATCAGACTGTGCGCGTTTGGGATATTTCTGGTGAGCTGCCCAGACCGAGGGGGTGCCCAGTGGCAAAGCCCACTTCAAAACTGCAATTGCTGAAAGCAAGGGAGGCAGGAAAGACTGGTGTGGATCTGGGAGCAGCAAGAGTAGCCCGTTGACTGCAGGAACCTTAGGTAGAAAGTTAAAAATTATCTGTTGATGGGGATTTATTCCCCTCGGTTTCCATGAAGGTGTAGGATGTTGGCTGGAAGGGACCTCTGAGTGTCATCCAGTCCACCCTTTTGCTTGACACAAATCTTTTGGGACCGTTGAGGAGGTGAGCTGTAGCGTTGTGCAGCCAAAAAACCCTCTCACGATGGAGATTCTGCAAGCTCATCCCCCAGTCTGGTTTTATAACCAGTGTAGGTGACGAGCAATGCTGTCAGAAGGGACGTAGTGCTGTCGGCTGATGGGCTTGGCAGACATGCCAGACTTTTAGAAGGATTTTAGATGTTTCTGGGTCACCTTTATCCCCTTGAAAAACTCTCAGAGGCAGGAATAAGTCATTAGACAGGCTGAGAGAGTTGGGGTCGTTCAGCCTGGAGAAGAGAAGGCTGCGGGGTGATCTTATAGCAGCCTTCCAGTGCCTAAAGGGGGCCTACAGGAAAGCTGGAGAGGGACTTTTTACAAGGGTGTGTAGTGATAGGACACAGGGCAATGGCTTTAATCTGAAAGAGGGGAGATGTAGGTTAGATCTAAGGAAGAAATTCTTCCCTCTGAGGGTGGTGAGGCACTGGCACAGGTTGCCCAGAGAAGCTGTGGCTGCCCCATCCCTGGCAGTGTTCCAGGCCAGGTTGGATGAGGCTTTGGGCAACCTGGTGTAGTGGAGGGTGTCCCTGCCCATGGCAGGGGGCTTGGAACTGGATGGTCTGTGAGGTCCCTTCCAACCCAAACCATTCCAGGATTCCATGGTTTGTTGTGAGAGAGAGAGAGCCTGGTTGTGGGTGGTGACAGGAAGATAATATTATTAGAGACTCTTTCAACTTTTTCAGTCTACTCGTCTGTTTTACCAGATGAAACGTGGCCTAAAGATCAGAGCTGGAGTTGCAAGTCCAAATTCCAAAGTACTTTGAACATCTTAGCTGTTTCTAGTTACACCACGAGGCGACTTAAGGGAATGAAATATGATCCCTAAAGGAAAAGCTGGAAATGAAGGTGGAGATAAGGGACTGCTGGGAGGCAGGTGGGGCAGTACTGGTGGTCAGGGACAGACTTCAGCCGAGCCCCCGCTCTCGCCGTTGCAGTTTTGGTTGGGCACGCCGCGTTGTTTGCCGTGCACGCTCAGACACGGCCAGCTGTGTCAACAGCAGGGGCTGGGGACGGGGTGTCCTGGTTATTTAAAACCTGTCCCCCTCTCTGCACTGCCAGCACGGGGAGTTTAACAGCTATTCTGCTCGCGAGCTTTGCTGCTGCCTTCTCCCACAAATGCTCTCTCTCAGCAGAGTTCCAGCTGCCAAATTGGTTTGGAGATGGTACAGACCTTTTTTTCCCTCAGCTGATACGTGATGAGGGGTTTTGGAGACGTGTTGAATTATTGACTCAGCTGTTGCTCCAGTCAGACACGACACTGTGAGAATACCAGTGTGTGGGAAAACCTACAGAGAGATGAGAAACGGGCTCAGAATACAATTCCACTCTCCAATTTTTCCCCCAAATGACTTGTGTCCTTAGCAGGATTCTGTTCTGGCTCTAGCAGTCTCCTGGGAAGGGTTATTTCCTCATTTTATCTGGTGTCTGGTGTGCACATAATCCTAATCACAGAGAGCATCATGTGCTGCTGAGCTTTAACTCCATTTCCGAGTGCTGCTGTTAACTTGCAGCTTCTGCTGACACCAGTGGCAACGTTTTTCAGCAGGTTTTGGGATTATGAGCACTGGTTCTTTGATGCTCTCAGTTAAATGAATTTAAAGGTTGCATTCCAAAATCCTCCTCCCAAAACTGTCAGCTCTGGCAGCCTCAGCAGGGAGTGTGAGGGATGAGGAGCGTGACTCGCACTGGACACCGGAATGTGAAGATGGCCCTGTTGTTTTGAGTTCCTATATAGTGCTCCTTGGTTTGGAACCGTCTGGTACAGGATCTTCGGTGTAAACCAAGTATGCTGGAGGTTGAAGGGTCTGTTTCCTCCTGAGAGGGAGTGTGAGTGCAGTCAGAATAAGCTCGTTTACATGTTAAAATGCCTGAATGTTCGTGTCGTGTTACTCGCCTGTGCTGTGGAATGAAGTCCTGGCTCATGATGCTGATATTAACCTGCAGAAACTACGAAATAATCTTCTGTCTTTCTCTGTCTCTTTGTAAGTATTAACCCATGAGGATCATAGAATTCCATGATCATAGAATCATGGAATGGTTTGGGTTGGAAGGGACCTCAGAGATCATCCAGTTTCAACCCCCCTGCCATGGGCAGGGACACCCTCCACTACACCAGGTTGCCCAAAGCCTCATCCAACCTGGCCTTGAGCACTTCCAGGGATGGGGCAGCCACAGCTTCTCTGGGCAACCTAATCCAGAGTGCTTTTGTGTGTGCTCTGACATCACACACCAACTCCTGTTTAACCTTGCTCATGGTTGGCAAATGTTGATGTCTGATAAAGAAGCTTCCTTATTCCATCAGGGCTCTGTTTAGTCTGGATGACCAGCTAAAGTGAAGATCAGGTGAGGATTAGGGCTGGCAGTGTTGGGAAGCCCTGGGACTGGGAGGACCCCAACTGAGAGTCCCCAGATTGCATCTGCGTGTCCTCCAGCAGCCTCACTGGGAGCATGTTGGTGGGTGGCATAACCTTTGGTACAACAACCTCCCCTGCCCTTCTCTAACTGCCCGCTGACTGTGGATGGGTTGCAGGGACAGGAAGGAACCCAAGCCCAGCAGCGAAAGCGTCGCTGCCCAGGAGCCCTCTTTAGCTTCCATCGAAGAAGGGAGTGGAGCAAAAGAATTTGCAAAGGACCATCTCTCTTCTTCCTTCTCTCCTAACTTGCAACTCGCCGTTCACAGTCAGCATGTTGCCCCTTTACTCGGGTTGCTCCTGGGTGCTCGTGTGCATGTTGAGCTGAGTCTCCTTTTCAGGTTGGTTGTTTTTTTTTTTTAACAGCTGTCCTCTAGAATGCCTAACATCTGCCTGACTTGTGCTACAAGTCCCTTCTCTGTCCCTGCTCCCTCCCCAGAGCAGCACAGGAGGCTGGTGTGTTCTGCGAGTGTCCTGCCTTTCCTCTCCATTTGTGCAGTTACGCCAGAAATTTTCCACTTGGTCCCAGTCCTGTTTCACTGGCTTGTCAAAGGCTCAAGTATTTTCTCTTCCAAAAGCCTTGTGTTTCTTCACTTATCTTTCTTGGCCCACGTATGGTTTATTCCTCCTTCCTGGGGTACTTTGTGTCAGCTTTGGGGAAGTATCTGCTCAGCTGTTTAAGTCCTTCACCATTACCTGGACCAAAGCTTTGGTGGGAGACACTGCTCAACGTGTTGGATTCGTTACACTAACTTTGCCAGAGGTTGTTGAGCTGTTCATCTCTGAGGAGTTTGGGAATCAGAACTGCAACAAGGAAGTAATAACTTTTTTTTTGTCTTCAGTATTGTTTGTTTTCTTCTTACGCTTCCCTCCCTGTTGGCATCCATACTGGTGCAATTCTGCTTTTATCCCAGACGTTTTTTTTGTATTCTGGATAAATTTTGTCGTAGCATCCTTGAGCCAAATATTTTTGAATGGAAAAGCGTGTTTTCTAAGTTTTGCTTTAGAGTGTTGTGTGTACAGCCTTTTCCCTGTGCAGTGTTGGAGGAGAGGCAGGAGAGGCTTTTTCCATTCGCACTTTCCCTGCTGTGTTCCGCTGGGTGTTGGTAAAGGGCAGGAGACACAGGTCTGGTTTAACTTGGATGACTTCAGAAGCAGGAACAGACCTCGTTTCATATAGTTTCAGCTCCTGAAAATATTTTGTGTCCAGGCAGATTGTCCAAATCCATACCCAAGAGGTCATCAAGGTGACATGGGTGAAAGTCCTCTGAAAGGTGCAAGCTCAGATTAGCAAAGGGATGAGAGGGGGAGAAATGGGAACGTGTCAGTCCTTTGCTGAGGTGCTGCTGCCTGCGTGGCAGGGAGCTGGAGTGATCCTCCGTGCGATTTGCTGCATTGCAGGCTTTCCTTTCTGTTTGCCTCATCTGAGGAAATGAAAGAGAGCCCTGGATGTTTCTCACTCTCTTTCAAGTTCCCAGTTTCCACCTGAACATGTGTATAAACAGCACAGGAGAGTGCTCAGCTTCTTGTTAAATTAGAAGTGTTGCCTTGATAATACAATTTTTGCTTCCTCCACCCCTGCTTCTCCTTCCTCTTTGTTCCACAAGGCCTGAGGAAGAAGAACCTGTCCCCTGGAGCTGTGGAATCGGATGTCCGGGGAATAACAGGGGTGGATTTGTTTGGGACAACAGATGCGGTTGTGAAGCACGTTCTTGAGGTATGGTGTCAATGTCTGTGCCCAGTATGGCCTTTTCAGATTTGTTTAATGAAATCCCTGTGACACTAATGATCCTCTAAAAGCCCGGAAAAATATCAGAGGAAAAAAGAGTTAAAACACTTGACTGGGCTGTATAGAGTTATGTGCTCTTGTAGATCATGGCATCGCTTTTTCTGAGTTTGAAATCTGAAATCTGGAGATGCTTGCACTGTGACCAAACAGACAGAGTTTTCTCTGCGCAGCCAAAACCTCAGCGAAAATAGGAGATGTTGTTACCTTGTGCTACGGGAAGCAACAGAGGAGGTTGTGGTAGAGGCAGCCCTCTGTAACGGCTCGTTAAAGCTGGAAAGTGGTGCTGCTCTGCTGCCAAGCTCCAGCTTTGCTCTACTGGTGAAGACCAGTATCTGCAAAGCTTGTTATTGCAGGCATCTATAATCTGACTATCTGCAAGCATTCGGTACGAGCAGCATGGTGGATAAAATAGTGAAAGCTGTTTCTTGGCAAGCCTCTCTGCAGCCTGTGGTGCTTTGTCCTTCCTTTGGGGATGGCATAGATTCATAGATTCAGAGATTCAGAGATTTCTAGGTTGGAAAAGACCTTATAGATCATCGAGTCCAACCGTCCCTAATCCCCATTAAACCATATCCCTAAGTAGATCATCCACCCTATTCTTAAACACATCCAGGGATGGGGACTCAACCGCCTCCCTGGGCACCTCCCTGGGCACCCAGTCACCGAGTTGCATCGAGTGATTGTTTCCTCTTTGCAGGGCCACGATCGTGGGGTGAACTGGGCTGCCTTCCACCCTACGATGCCACTTATCGTGTCGGGAGCTGACGACCGGCAAGTGAAGATCTGGCGGATGAACGGTAAAGGGATTCTCCAGGGGGAACCCACGGGGAGGAGGGGGTTAAGAGTTGAAATTTATGTTTGAACCTGAAGGTAATTTACACTTTGCAAACATAGAGTGGTAAATAATCCCGAGCAGCATTGGCTTTTGCAGTTTGAGGAGAGCTCAGTTCTCCAGCAAACACCTCCAGCTTCTTCTGGTTTGCACACACTGCTGAGCAGAAGCTTGTAGGAGGAGAACGGGGCTCTGAAGTTTTTGAATATGCACTGATGGAGTAAGAGAAGGAGGTGATTTGAGAGCCAGATTTTTGGCAGCTCAGTCCAGCTAAACTGGATACAATTCTTGGCACCTCTGTAGTAATCTGGCTCACCTGTTTCTCCTAGGTAGAGCTGTGCTAGTGCGTAGAGAGACATCCTAAACGCAAACTGCAGAGAATGGTGCAGTGACCAGCGGCCGCTGCGGTTCGCTGGGAGATAAAGTGCTGCTGTGCTGCTGCTGTGGCAGAGCTCAACCAGTTCAAGCGTTGTTTTCCTCCTTCTTTGCCACCTCTGGGTAGAATCGAAGGCCTGGGAAGTCGACACGTGCCGAGGGCATTACAACAACGTCTCGTGCGCCGTCTTCCACCCGCGGCAGGAGCTCATCCTCAGCAATTCGGAAGACAAGAGCATCCGTGTCTGGGACATGTCGAAACGGTTAGTGCCTGTCAGGCATCTCACTCAGGCTTCATATGAAAGTTTTTACACGTGTGGAAGACCTAGTTATTCTTAGAGAAACCAAACACTAGCAGTTCTTAAAACATCAGTGCTAGTGTTTGATAATTCGTGAGTGAGAAGTCGTGTTTCTGACGTTCTCTGCCCCTTTGAGACACGTGGTAGGAGGAGGGCTTGTAACTGAGAGCAAGTGGAAGAGGGCTGGCTTGTCTAGGGATACTGCTGCTGAAAATATGTTAAACAAGAACATATTATTTGACAGAAGGCTTTGAATGCAGTGTTTTGAACTCTCAGTGGGCTCCTCGTGCTGAGTGCTAGAGGTGGTCTGTGTGGCAAAGCTTAGGATCTTCGTTCTGGGAGCTGGAGTTTACACCAAAGGTTCCATTTTGTTTATGTTCTTATTCCTTCTGTTACACGTTTAGCACGGGCGTCCAGACCTTTCGGCGTGATCATGATCGCTTTTGGGTGTTGGCTGCTCATCCCAACCTGAACCTCTTTGCTGCAGGTAAAAAATGCTCCTACTCCGTGTCTGATGGGTTGCTTTGAAGAGAAAATATATTCCATATAGGATTTGCTTTTCCCTAGCACTCTTTGCAGGACACACTGACTTGCAGATGCTTTCATTAGATGTATCGTAGGGAAAAGATCCTTTTTTAGAGGAACAGAATCTCCTTGGATCAGCTGCAGTTCAAAGCTGGAACCAGATGGCCTCTGTGTTAACCAGCTGAACGCTCCAAGGCTCAGAATGGATGAGACAGATCCTAGGAGAACCCATGCTGAACTATTAACACTTCAAGAAACGTGTGACAGTGAGGCAAAGTTCTTCTAGAAGAGTGTCAGATCTTAAATTTATTAGGAAACAGCCCTTGGGAAAGAAGTGGAATCACTTAGGCTGAGGAGTCGCAGATGCGGTTGCGATTTTTGTTGGCTCTTTCTTGGTTCGAAGGGCTGGGCGGTGCCATCTTCACAGTGGGAGAGACCACAGGATTGAATTCACGTGTCAATTCTCCCATCCCTTTCCTCAGGCCACGACGGTGGCATGATTGTGTTCAAACTGGAGCGGGAGAGGCCTGCCTACGCCGTGCACGGGAACATGCTGTATTACGTGAAGGACCGTTTCCTCCGGCAGCTGGATTTCAACAGTTCAAAAGACGTTGCTGTCATGCAGCTGCGAAGGTAGGAGATGAGTGCTCCTCAGTTTCAACTGACTCTTCTGTCAGATGAACTTACAAAGCCTACAAGAAGATTTTTAGGTCAATTACAAGAAGATGATAAGAGGGCTGGAGCACCTTTCCTATGAGGACAGGCTGAAAGAGTTGGGGCTGTTCAGCCTGGAGAAGAGGAGGCTCCGGGGTGACCTTATAGCAGTCTTCCAGTACCTCAAGGGGGCCTACAGGAAAGATGGGGAGAGGCTATTCAGGAGGGCCAGTTGTGATAGGACAAGGGGTAATGGTTTTAAAATAGAGGGAGGTAGATTCAGGTTGGATATTAGGAAAAAATTTTTTACCGTGAGAGTTGTAGAAAAGTAGAACAGGTTGCCCAGAGAGGTGGTGGATGCTCCATCCCTGGAGACGTTCAAGGCCAGGTTGGACGAGGCCCTGAGCAACCTGATCTAGTTGGAGATAGCCCTATTCCTTGCAGGGGGGTTGGACTAGATGACCTTTGAAGATCCCTTCCAGCCCTAACCATTCTATGATTCTATGATTTTTATCTGTTCATAGTTATAAATTGTTTTTTTTTTTTTAACTAGTTGTAAGTTTCAAGCTGAAACGCCAGCTCTTTCATTTGTGAAACACTGATGTTCTTAAAGTGTTTCCAAGTGGTTGTGATTCAGGAAACTCATCTAAACTGATATTCCTAATACTCAGTATATTTCAGAAAATGAAGAGCGTTTATCAGAAGGTGACTTTGGTAGAAATAACCACTTTCTCTTTTCTTCATGGCTCTTCTTCAGTGGCTCCAAGTTCCCTGTGTTCAACATGTCCTACAACCCAGCTGAGAACGCTGTCCTCCTCTGCACAGTGAGTCCATTTTGCTGCATGATGTGCTGAAGAACTTCCCTCGAGGCTGTGAACGTCAGTTCTGTGAAATCCTATCTCCAAATGGTATTTTTCCCCCCTTCTCTGCAGAGAGCCAGCAACTTAGAGAACAGCACTTATGACCTGTACACCATTCCCAAGGATGCAGACTCCCAGAATCCGGATGGTAGGCACTTCTTCTTTCACATTAATCCTTGTGAGCGTTTATTGCTGTGTAGCTGTCCCCTCCTCTGCTCTCCAACTGTGTGTGTGTGTTATATATAAAAAAAGCTTCATTTCTCTAAGCCTCTCTCGTTGGACTCTTTCTCCGTGTCTCCCGGTGCCCCTGCAGCACACATCGTTTGGATGGCTTCCTGCTCACTATATCACGCTACACTGACTTGAAAAATTCATGTTCATCTCAAACTTTTACTGCTACAAATATATATTTTATAATTTTGTTATTAGGAACTTTCCGTTTTCCCTTTCGACGCAGCAGGCAGCCTTCCTGGCTTGTCAGCAGAGATGGATTTTAACCAGATATGTTTTGTTCTAAGAGGTTTTATACTCTGAAAAAGTGGCTGTAAAAGTGACAGTGCCAGAGTGCCAGCAGTCATTCCTCCTCTCGGCAAATTCCACATCAGTTTTGTGCAATTTACAAGTCGAAACATGATTTAGGAAAAAAAAAAAAAAAAAAAATTCTTTCTCCTAACTATGAATTCCATTTGGGATCTGAAACTCCAGCTGGTTCCTCCTGCCTCTGTCGTCACGGCAGTAAAGATTTTGAAATGAGTGGGTGTGATGAATGAGTTGGACTGGAATCCAGCTCGCTTGTTCATAGATTTATTGATTTCTGCAGGTCTAATGAAGTGAAAATGTCCTTGCTGAGTACAGCCAGCAGGTGTATTTGGAGAGAGAAAGCGAGATTTTTAGAACTTTTATATAGACTAAATGTTACTGAACATATTTCAAATATTGAGTTTGATTGAGACGTTCAAAGCTGACTTGCCTGGCAACGCTCAGCTTGTGACCCTTTAAATGAGGAAAGAGCTGCTTCTTCTAGAGGAAGAAATGTCTAGGCCTCATGAAAACTGTGCACTTTTGGTGCTTTTTTCAAGGATGGCATAAATTCTACTGGTTGATAAGTATCTTCTCCAACAAGCTGCTGTATATGGGACCTATAGTCCTGGGGCTTTAACATGTGCCTTGGAGTTGTCATCCTCATGTCCTTCAGCTTTTTTACCTGACCTGCAAGGGGAGCTGGGCTTTCTTTAACAGTCTTCTGGATAATATATTTCCATCATTTTAGGCCTGATCTACACTCAATGTTAAAAGACTTAAAGCCAGAGTTGCGGAGAGTGAGAAAAGCAGGAGACTTTGCCATCAGAAAAGCCCAAGTGAAGCTGGGAATTGAATTCGGACAAATCTCGTGTTGGGTAGTGAGTGAGGGCTGAGGCAATCGGGTTTAAATTGTCATTTGTTAGGATGTAGATCTGCCACGAATGACACTGTTCTCGGTGAAATTGCACTTGGTCCGGTGCGTGGTTCTCCAAAAACACTTGCGTTGAGCAGCAGGACTGGTGAGAAAAGGGGCTGACAACTAAAGAAAAATTTATTTTACCAAAACAGCAGCAGCTCTCTCTCTCTCCTCACCTCTCTCTTGCCTTCTGCTGCTGAAAAAAAGCCTTCTCCACATCTGAATCCTGCGGTGCTGTTCTTTCTGTGCTGCCTGACGTGCCGAGCGCTGTGTTTGCATTAGCATTTTAAAACTGGGAGAACAGCTGCGTGCTGGGGAGAGCTCAGCCTTTCTCCTCCAGCTCGTTATATCAGCTTGCAGG